AATAACCAGTTGATGATGATAATATTTGTATTTCAGTAGCTTCCAGATAGATGCTGATAATATAATATAGATATAGATATTTACATTTGCATATTGAAAATTCTCGGACTAAAAGTTTAGCACAAATTTTCACTAAAATGTTTTGTTGTTGTCAATTTACTTTGATGATTAGCATTTTTTATTGTTATTTTTTTGTTAATAACATTATTGAAAATTTCAATTTCATTGTTGGCAGTAAAAAAAACAAATACATAAATATAGAAAATGCAAACAAAATAATGTCACCCGGTGACAGATAGATCTTAACAAAATATCCGAAAACATGGTTAGCTATGCACCGAACCGTGTTAATAATAAATACAAAGTTTTTTTGTGTGCCAAATTTCATGGGAATTAAACCCTGTTGCCACTAATGACACATTTTTCAATATTAGATTGGGTTAGACATGTGTAACATGTATCAAAAGTCATGGTTTTGTGTAAACATCTGTCTGGCAAAGGTTTAATATTTTTTCAATATAAACTGCTTGCGTTTACTTAGAGGCATTTTAAATTTAATATATCACCCTTTTCATAATAGATGGCATATTTACATTGTATTCACAATGTAAACAAAGATCAGCTGATTGTTATTTAAAGTTTTTTATGTAGATGATAGTGAATGATCGGTAGAACACGATGTTTAGATAATACAAAACGTGCGTTGTAGAGTAAACAATGAACGTGTGCTATTGCAGTTATGACGGGAGGTTTTCGTTATAACATTAGGGGTGTTCCCGTGATGATATTGTTGTAATCATTATGGGAAAAGTCCTACCTTATTTATAGGCCTTGGTCACATGCAATATAAATGTGTCATAAGGAAATACACAGCTGATCTGTAAAATGTAAACAGCTGATGTGTAAAATATATAAATGTAAATAGTGTTCATATCACAAAAATAAAATTGTTTTCATTAACTTAATGAATTAGCACATTTTTGTGTCAAATTTCTGCACAAAAAATTATATGAAAATAGGCCTATTATGCACCCTATAGCAAAAATATTAATTCGAAGTTTAATTTGTGACAAAACTATATTTCCGGCTTTTTAATATTCACATAAAGGGTGTTTATCACCCCATAAATAAATTGCATATGCGTGTAGAATAATAATCGACTACAGTCAAATTTTAAGAGAGTTTGGCTAGTTAGTTTTTGTTAAACAGTTGCTCAAATACAGAAAAATTCGGAAATCGAACCAATGAATATTTATATATATTTCAACATTAAGCACTTTGCTTATTATTTCGTTTTCTGGTGATCCTACATTTAAGGATAGTACAGAGCAATACACTCGAAAATCGAATGAAAAGTTTTCAAGTTGATCTTGGGAAAACTGTGATCGGCTTTAGATTGTCTTTATAAATATTTGGGTTATCACCTGACACTGCCATCATAATAACATAAACATAAAACGTTATAAGTCGAATTTGCTGCAGTCGCTTGAAGTCGAAAATCGATTTTCATCTGATTTCACAAATTCGAAAAGTCAATAATTGTTTAAAACCTGTAAAATTATTTTCAAACTTTGCTAAACAACCGTAAATTTAACTGTTTAGACATGTTTTGAGATGATCTAGACGTCAAACAGCTGATGAATATTGACATATACCTACTAACACAAAATGGAATACATTAAAAGCACGTTTAGATTAATCCTTTTAATCGTCTTGATTTGTAAATCGAGGAACTAAATCCTAGATAATTAGACCAGTATTAACATTATATAAAGTTGACAGTCAGCTGTTATTTGTTAGGGGATACCATGGCACAATGAATAGGTAGTCCATTTAGCGATTAACTGTCAAAGTGCGTAATTTCTACTTGAATTTGATGTGCAGTGTTGCCAACCATGTGAAATATTATAAGGAAAAATTTGACAGATAATCTAGACAAAAACAAAGGTTTTTGCTCTGATACATCACCTTATTATTGCATCTAATAATAACGTCAAGCGAAAGTCAGCTGTTTTTTCCTCAATCCTAATGCCAAAAATTTTGACTTTGTTTTGACAGCAATCTTGAGATGTAGCTTACATCCAGCTGGTCACCCTGGATTAACTTAATAGGCCTTGTTTTAAAATATATTCACTGAAAAATAATTATATCACCTATTGTAACCAAGCGACATACATAAAGGGTTGACATTATTGGATTTTAAGGAAATGTAACAAATTTGTTGAAGCAATAAACAGTATTGTATTTGAAATTATGACGATTACAACACTGTGGCGATTACAACAAATGTGAAAATTATCAATTTAAAAGACATTTTAATAAAAATATTCTTATATTTATGTATAAATGTTAGATTTTTGCCTTGCATAATTTCTGACCCTTGTCTGTAAAGAGAAGTATTTTTTAGTATTAAAACCAGAGTTGCATTTTATTAGCACCGTGATTTCGATCATAATTTATGTAAATGGTGATATAAGATGATGCAATTATTTACAACGATCGCGTATTATTTTTCTCAATTTATTATTTTCTAATCGACCCATCTTAATGTTAGATATTTATCTGCAAAAAACATCAACCTTAATAGATGTTCGTTGTGTTGCTGTTCCTGTCTGTTTGTTTAGATTTTACGCTAAATTAAGTTTTGTACTACACTAAAGGTCAGCACACATTTTGAGAATAAATTAATTTATCTCTGCCTAGGTGGATACAATTTAAGTAACCTTATTAAAATAAATATTTTTATTTCCAAAAATGCGACTGACTAACAATACTATGACCGATAAAGAAGAATTATTTCCGTATGACACAAAAATTTATTGACTTAACACCGGCGATTGTTCATAGTGTCTGTATTGACATCTTATCACAAACATTTTTTTAAACGTAAAAATTTCACAAGCTTCGTGAATTTCATATTAACAAATTTATAATCATAATAGTTTATAACAACAACGTCAGGTAACAAACAAATCAATATTTATTGTTTAGAATAGTTTTATCTGTTATGTACATACATATGGAATACCCCTTGTTCCGAATGATAACGATAAGCATTTTGAAAAGGAAATTGTATTGAATTGTAGCGGCGTTACCGATTTGTTTTGTAATTCTTCATGTAATTTAATTTGTTTGAAAAAATGTATACAAATAATTTATGTTTTCTAATTGAATTGTTTAAAAAATCTGCAATAACATAAATGGCGTTTACATTATAACATTTACCTACTTTATGAAGATTTATTTGACATCTAAAGCAACTAAAATTGCAAGGTTAATAAATTTCGCATAATTTGTTCAAAAATAAATATATGGTGGTGGTTTTTTTCAGTTTTAATTCAGATACTTTATTCACTTTTAAATAAGAAAGGCTGGCAAAAACTTAATTTCGTACTGATCAACAAATTGTAATTGCAGTAAAAAATATCCATTTGAGAGTTCAACGTAATTGGTGGGACGGTTATCGTTGGATATAACCTCAAGAACAAGCGGCGTAGGAGGCCTTCATGCCCGGAAACTAACAAGAAAGTTATTTTATTTCTGAAAAGAATCCGAAAGCCAGATTGCCATTTGCAAAAGCTCATATTATTCGGAATCCGACTCAGTGGAGAAATATAATGCTCTCGGATAAATTAAAGTTAAATATTAAAGACTCAGACATGATGCATGAAGGAAGGTCAATTATGGTATTATTTTTATGGACTTCGAAATATTTACGAGATTTATGAAATAATGGATGTATTGTTTATAGAAATGTGTTGGAAAACGCTATTGTTCCCTTCGCCAAAGAAAATCTTTGGAGTATCATAGATAGATAAAGAAAAAGAATTTTACAAACAGATGTAACCTCTTCCCAAAGGTTCAGGATGCAAGGAATAGCAAACCCAAGGATCAATCTGAGTATTTTATTGATTGCATGCCTCATGGGCAGTGTTGCCAAAACTTTGTCGATAAAAAAGCTAGATTTTGTTTAAAAAATGCTAGAAAGTTCTAACAAATTTAAAAAAGTGCTAAATAAAAGTGCTAAAAAGTTTATAGAAAGAAATTCGCTTATAGCTAATAATTTGATATTTTGATAAAAAACCCTGTTGAGTTCTTAGAAGTGAGAGGTATAGAAAGTGACAAGGGGGAAGAAATTCAAAAGAGAATTGTAGAGAGCAGCATCAGAGTTGCAAAGTTGCATGTACAAACCCTGACTAACAAAAATTATCAATATGGGTCGATGTAGATCGGTATCATTCGTGATTATGGTGACTTTAGTCACCAAAAAGTGGGACAATTTTATAAAATATCCAGAAAAAATAAAAAATAATGGCTAAGCTGCAAAGTTGCTTATTTATAAGAAAAACTGAAGAAGTTGCTTTAGTTTTGACCAAGCAAGAATTTGGTCAATTTAATTTTCCATAGAATATTTTTTATAAAATAAGTTTTGCGTTCATATTTCTTGTTATTTAAAAAAATGTATAAATTATCTATTTATATCTGAAAAAATTTTCTTTATAATTTTATTTTCAAAAAAGTTACAGGTCATCTATTCAGTTTGCAATTTCAGTTGCTTTAGCTTTGTCTATTTGGATTTGTCTTTTTTTATATAGTCTAATACATAAAAATACAATTTTATGCTATTTTTATTTTAAATACTGCCAAGAAATGAAATCATTACTGTTTTCTTATATTTGATCCGCCATTTTGGATTTATTTTATTTGATTTTCAAAATCTGATTTCACATTTGTAATTAGTAGTCATAGCTCTACAAAACGTGTTCAAAAATAATTTTCCATCCACGCTATTGGATTTTTACGTTTTTCTTGAAGAGTCGTAATCAGTGTCCTCAAACTACTTATATGTGATATTTATTTATTTCATAAACCCACTGCTCTAATTATGGCAAAAAAATGGGATATCTGACCAATAGTGTATTCGAATGAAACCATTTCCATATACCTCCATAGAATACCTTTAAATATCTTCAATTACACTTTTCCACTTCTTCACTTACCTCAAAAGACATTGTACCGCCATTGCCATATTTTTGAAAGAGATGGGCTAAATAACGGTTATATTCGGTAGCTGCCTGGACTTCAGTTAGTGTCACCGCAACGCAGGTGACACAGATGAAAAGCATGAATTGCATATTGAATGTGGCCATATTTGAAATGAATGGAGCGTTACGTTTTATTCGAAACTTCCTTTTTTGTTGTTCGTTCGTTCGTTACTTATTGTTGTTGTTGTTACTCTTGAACTTTGCTGTTGGATTGAAACGCTTGGCGTTTCTTGTCCACTTGTTTAATAATTTACTTTTTTCTCGTTTTGTATTTATGTAATGCGTTTTCTTTGTAAATTGTGTGGCAGATCTTCTTCACAAATGCATAATAATTTCATTTGTTGTTGTTGCTGCTGTTAACTCAAACAAAAACAACACTGACAAAAGAAACAAGTTGTGTTTTTTTTATTTCGATATCTCACACACAAACAATGGCTTTATACAACAATAATTTTTCTGTGCATATTTTTTACATTTCATTTATTTGTTGTTGTTAATTTCTTATTTATGCGATCGCGATATTATTTCATTTATTAAAACATCTTTCACTCTGGTCGCCAAAATTCGTGATTTGGATTTGATGTGTGCACGCGCGTTTCTATGTTACGCTTCTTTCGATCGATCTCTCGTTCACTCACTCACTATCTAACTCACTGACTTGCTCCGTCGCTCATCAACAACTAACTACTGATGCCTGTTAGTAACTTAGTTGGTGATTTACGGGTGGTTCTTTACTGCGGATCACAAGCGATCACCGTGCTCGAACTACCTTTGATATGACAGTGACTGGTGGTCGGTCGTGTGTTTTACCGCTTGATGGGCTTGCTTACTGCCTTAAACGCCTCCGGGCATATTGAGCTCTTAATTTACGCTGACTCTCTATATGTACGATGACTGATACTTGCCGGCAGCGGCAGCAAAAGCGAGTTACCATCATTCTTCCATCGGCCAGCGCAAATCATTATCGCTTGCTTACTCGTTTCTTTTACGACCGTAATGCAGAAAGCTTTTCGCAGTGAAGCTTTTTTTGGTTTTGCTATTGAAAACAAGTTAGCTACAAAATTTGTATTTGCCAAGCGATTTCGAACGTTACAAAGGAAATATAATTTACGTGAACTGGCGAGCTAATTATGGAACTTATGAATGAAAAGCTATGTTAATTTTCTTTATTTTTACCTTTGATCGAAATGTGCAGCAACGTTTAGGGAATTGCAATTTTTTTTTAAATGCTATGTTGTACAACATGTATCTATTTAGAGACAATGCCGAATAGCTAAGGGGAAATAAAATATTTTTTTCTTAATTTTAAATAACGAATTCAAATGCGTGAGAAGTTTCAGAATCTTCCATGGAGACACGGTTTTGAAGAAAATCCCCATTTTATTCCCTTTACCACATGATGGTACAGAATATTATGTCTTTGTGCATATGTTTGTAGCATCAAAAGGAAACGAGATAAAACGATATGGTTTCTTTTGAGTATGTGCATAGAATCACTTTCTGGTTCGATTTATGCATGTCCGTCTGCCTGTCCGTATTTTCGTGAACAAAGTACAGGTCGCATTTATGATCCGATTTGGATGAAATTTGGCACAGCTCATCTACTTGGCCCAAGGACGATCCCTATATATATTTTCGTCCGATTTAATGTAAATGGTGCACCAAAGTCCCTATCTTTCGATTTGCAAGAAATTTGGCATAGCGTACTGATATAAGTCTAGAATACACGCGCGAAATTTGACATAGTGTATCGAATTAGGTATAGAATTGTGTATGTTAAGTCTCTACTGATTATTTTAGAAAATGTCACTTCCTTTGTTGATCTTGGTGTCAACTTAGATGCGAAATTGCGATTTAACATACATATTGAATCTTGTGTTAATAAAGCGAAATCTTTACTAGGATTCATGAAACGATGGTCTAAGGAGTTTGACGACCCTTATGTGACAAGTACGTTTATTTGTTAGTTTGGTTCGTCCTACATTAGAATATGGATGTATTTTATGGAGCCCGTTTTACAACTGTTATTCCAAAAAACTTGAATCTGTCCAAATTCAATTTCTATTATTTGCTCTCAGAGGTTTGCCTTGGAGTACTGTTGAAGTATTTCCCTCCTATGAAAATCGCTTAAAACTTATTAATCTTCCAACATTAGAACGAAGACGTTTAATGCTTAGAGCTGTATTTTTAATAAGACTTTTACGTGGCCAAATTGACTCAAAATAGTTTTTTTCCTTCGTGTAGTTAGTTTGTCTCTGTCCTTCCTGTAGTTAGTTTAAGTAATTTAATTTATTTACCGGCTGATGTATTACCGTATCCGGTGTTTCCATACATTACTAACCCTCCATAATCCGGATTATGGGGTGTACGCTCTCCCTACGTTATGGGGAGGTGGCCACCTCGGTCGGCAGGGGCGGGTAAGAGTGGCGTTGGGAACGAAAAAAATCGGTTCGGTTTAGGAATAGCTCCCATATACATTTTCGTCCGATTTTATGTAAATTGTGTACTAAAGACCCAAAGTTTGTCCGATTGGCACACAATTTTGTACAATGTATTGAAATTAATATAAATTTCTGATTCATATTTGTAATCACTGACCATAGCTCTACATAAGGTGTTCAATAATAATTCCATTAATTAATTTTTAAACCTGTAAGGAAAGTAGTAAAGTCGGACTGGGCCGACTATATGATACCTTTCACCACTTGGGGGTATTGTACAATCAGACACCGGTTCGAAATACATATGGAAGCTATGGCTGGATCTGCACCAATTTCAACAAAACCCAATAACGTCATTCATGTCTCAATTCGATACGCTGTGCAACATTTCGTGTTAATCGGACAAACATTAGGAGTTTGGTGCACAATTTATGTAAAAACGGACGAAAATATATATGGGGGCTATATCTAAATCTTCGTTTAAATCGAAAAATATATTCGGAGTTTTGTGCACCATTTACATTAAATTGGATGAAATATATATATATATAGGGCTATAGCTAAATCTGAACCAATTTTCACGAAACATAGCTCACATCATTCTAGACTCAATTCAGTACGCTGTGAAAAATTTCGTGCAAATCGAAAGCTATTTAGGGACTTTGGTGCACCATTTACATTAAATCGGACAAAAATATATATGGGAGCTATATTTAAATCTGAACCGATTTTTCCCAATTTCAATAGGGTTCGTCCTTGGGCTAAATGAATAAACTGTGCCAAATTTCATCCAATTCGAATAATGAATGCGACCTGTACTTTTTTTACAATTTAACATGGACAGACGGACGGACGGACATGCATAAATCGACTGAGAAAGTGATTCTATGCAAATTCTCAAAAGGAACCATGTGTCTATCTCGTTTCCTTTTGCCTGTTACAAACATATGCACAAAGACATAATACCCAGTACCACAGTGTGGTGAAGGGTATAAAAATGTTGAATGCCATTTTCGATCCACCCTATTGAATTGTTTACTTTTTTTTGCAGAATCTAATCAGCGTCCCCGAAACCCTTATATGTGATATTTATATATTTCATAAACCCACCGCTCTAATTATGGCCAACAAAATTGGATAAAGGATTGCTACCTTTACGCTTCGGTAATTTATACCGAAGCGTTTACACATAATGAGCCGTTTTAAATAATGTTATATGTTATGTTATAGTCTGAGATTCTCCTCTTTCTGTACATATATAGCAGTCCCTTCCCTCCCTTTTAACACTTCTTTCAACTTATTAAAAGTTTAAAAATGTGTCTGCGTGTTCGTTTTGCTGTGTTCGCCTGGTATTTAATCTCTCTAACAAAAATTATCAATATTTGGTCATAGTAGACCCCTTATAATGGTACATCCCATATATCGGTATTTTGGGCACGGTTTCCAACCGAAATGACTTGTAAAATTCTTTTTTTATTTAAATAAAAAATATTTATTTTTACAATTAACGTTTATTTATTTTTTGTAATAAATAGGATGATATAAAATCCCACAAATGGTCATGCAAGAAAATAAAAAGGCATTAAATTCGGCTGAGCCGAACTTTTTATATCCTCCACCATGTGATATACATTGAAAATTCTTTTTAAAATGTCGGGAACTTCATATGTTGACTATATCATTGAAAATTGTCTGCTAGTAGGTTGTTTATTTGAGAATATTAAAACCGACATTACAGACTATCAGGATGGGAAACGGAGCTAGAAACATCAATGTACCGTAAACATATTATGAAAACATGATTCACCACGAATCTGCCAAATTACAGACACTGCTCCTTTTTAGTGAGGGTTATATTTAAAGATGGAACTACATCGAAATTTTTCGGCAAACATATTCTTTTCAAATTCAAGTGGGAAAATGCTTCTAAAACCTTAAAGTATGCAAATGGGACGGAACATTTATATAAACAATGTACAAACCATGATCTAAATTGAAAATTTTCTGCATATATGTAAGTTACCTTGCAAACCCCCGCAATGACATTGAAGTTTGTATTCCTGCAGATACGACTCTTACCCGCATTTTCCAACTGAAAAGGCTCTAATTTAGCATTTTGATGTTGTGAAGGCTTCCATATATCAGCGCTTGTACTGATATATTTTCATGAAATAGAAGACAGGTGAAAGTCTTAGATATGAAGATTCCTCCATTTTTCAACAATTTGTTTATACTTTCATATATTGAGTCACGAAAATAAGTTTAAAATGAATGTAGAGTAACTTCGGGTAATGTGGACCACCATTTTCTTTTTTTTATATTGTAGGCGTAACAAAGGTAAAAAATAAAAACAAATTGTTTTCACAACATGGTAGATTTGTTGGCTAATTATATTCCAGGTCAAAAATTATATATATTTGTCCCTAAAAATGTTATTGTATTATATTTCAAAAAAACTCTAAACTGCAAATAAAAATAACTTGGCGGGTAATGTGGACCAGTATGTGTGGGTAATGAGGATCAGTAAGTTAAAGGTAGGTTGTGGATTAATTGTGATAAATATCCAGTTTGTTGCACTCTTGGGTAACAATGAATGCAAAAATATATGGGTCCATGTTTTGGAATAGCCCCCTTTTAGGGGTACCACCACATTTGCGGTATTTTGAAGGTCCTTGCTTCATTATCCAACCGAGGCACCTATAATTA